AGTGCCCTGATTGGCCCACAAAGCGGATAAAGCTCTGTGATTTGTTCACTAAGCAGATAGAGCACTATGATTGGCCCACCATTATGGACCAATCACAGCTCTTTATGTGTTTGAAACCCCTCTAGAGAGCTGTGATTGGCCAGCCAGAGTCCTGGTAGGAGCTGCTGAGGTTCTAATGGAGCATGCCTAGACCATTCTTTGCAAAGCAAGAATTTGGTCTAGTTCACTAGGCTTGCTAAACGTAAAAGAATTAGCATTTCAGCCTCAGAAACTGAACACTACGTTTGGTATTTACAATGATATTTAGACAGATTAACTTCTGCTTAGAGAATAAAAAACAGATAACTCAGACTTTTCTGTTTAATGGGGATTTATCTTGTTTTTATGAGTTTAAATCCTCTGGTGGAACTTGTACGTCAGGTTTTTCAGTCGTTTATTGTGTTGCTAATGTGCTTTTTCCTGGATTTACTGAAAAGACACCTAATGAGGATGCAACCAAAACGGAATAAACAAGTTTGACGTGTTTGTTTTCGGAGCGGCAGCTGAGGAAAACTTCCTCTCAGTGTTGGTGCGACTAACGAGCTTGTTTGAATTTAAATTGCTTCCTTAGAAAAAAGAAGAAAGAGTGCGCGGGTCAGTGCCAGGGAGTCCGAGCGGGCAAATTTACCCCAAATGGACGACACATTTTTTTGTTTTTTTAAATTGCGGCATCACTAATTTAAAAATAAAAACACGGGGACTGAAGAGGCCAGACATTCACAGTTGATGCTGATAGGTTCACCTGACAACCACACAACAATAATCAGGTGAATAACGAGGTCCAGCTCCTGCCACAGAAGGATGAGGAACACTGAGAGGAAACGTCGACAACAGAGAGAAACCCAAAGGGTTGATCAGTGGCTGAGCTTCTGTAATCCAAAACACGAGTGATGCTCTTGACTCATCAGCCATGAAAACAAGGGTCATCTCAAGAGTAGTGGAGATTAATATACATACATACATATATATATATATATATATATATATATATATATATATACATACATATATATATATATATATATGTATATATATATACATATATACATATATATATATATATATATATATATATATATATACATATATATATATATATATATATATATATATATACATATATACATATATATACATATATATATATATATATATATATATATATATATTCACACATATACTAGGGTTATTATACACATATATTAGGGTTGGGCGATATATTTAATTTTTAAACAAGATACAAGATGACTTTATATCTGTATATCGATATAACTGGTCAAACTGCTATGCTAGCAATTAGCTGCTATTCTAGAGACATGTTCTAAGCAGTTATTACATGTATTCTCACAATTTTGCTCATCTGAGAGCCTCTGAGTAAATGTGCTGCTCTAAACTTTGCATTTGGTGTCCTGGTTTTTTATTATTTTGGGATGTTCAACGCCAACAGAGTTCTGTTTTTCCACCCTGCTTGAGCAGAGAGACGAGCCAAACCCCTCCCACCCCTGTGTAATGAGGAAACATCTATGGATAGCCGGAGTGGCCAAATTACCTCAAACATATTGTAAGGGTTTGAATAGTAGACTATAGAGCTCCGGGAGTTGACGTCACTTCTCCCGGCATGCAACAGTTCAAATCGAACGGCGCCATCTTGGCAGGCAGAAGCCCGCAGCTGGACTATTTGTTATTGTTAGAAAACTCAATCAAACCGGAAATATGGTAGATTCCTGTTGTGCCCCAGGATGCCAGAACAGATAAGGGAAGAGCCATCTACAGGATTCCCCAAGATCCGGAACGCCGCAAATGTTGGATCATTGTAATGAAGCGCGCTAGCCTCCAGGCTAAAACGAAGCTGTGGGGTCCCGAGAGTAAAGGTTTTCGCTTATGCAGCGACCGCTTCATATCAGGTACTTAAACCAACGTTTCCTCAACTGTGTATGGTATTTGTTTTAAATGCTTTTATTACGATTCTTAGTGGGCTTCTTAAACTTATTTTAGCGTGGCTTTTTCTGTCTTATTACTCATAGCAACGAGTAAACGTCACGTAAAACGTGGCCTCGTGAGTTCTGCGTGCTGCTGTTTACGTGTTTTATGATCACAGCAATTAACCGGCTAAGCTGTATTTCATTTTTAAGCAACGGTTGATCAATTGTCAGATCACACATAAAGAGCACTTTGGATTGCTATTTTCTGTCTCACCGAGTCAGATCTCAGACAGATCCTGAGACGCTCCTGCCTGACATTTTTATTTTATTCACGGAAAAAAATCAGACTAGTGATTTCTCTTGACGTTCAGTTTATACATTCAAACAGCACAGCACTTTATTTAACGATGCTCCGGAGTAGGATGAGGGGAAATTAACAAGGAAATTATAAATTTCAAATTCGGTAAGAGGTCCGCTCTGACAGCTTCTGGCGTTTTAAAAAGTATCCCAGGGGCACGGTAAGGGTCGGAGATGTTTAGTCTATTTAATTTCTGACTATATAAAACGATTTCTTCGGTTTTAAAGTGTGAAGTAAACTCCGACGAAGTAAAATCCAAGCCGATCCCGTTCATTCTGTTTACCTTTGTTGCCTGCCAACATGGCGTCTACTCTCTGAGAGTCACGTGACGTCTGGAGCTCTATTGGGTTAATGTTTTATTTTGAAGGCGAGCTCAACGGGTGAGAAATGTTGTTCCGTTTTTTTCACCGGAGCTAACGCAGGCGTTTAAAAACACTTAGAACATACAGCACCAGTGTTGGGAAAGTTACTTTAAAAAAGTAATTAGTTATAGTTAATTATTATTTGTCAAAAAAGTAATTCAGTTACTAACTGAGTTATGAGATTATAAAAGTAACTAATTACCAAAAAAACTACTTAGTTACTTTTTTCATTAAAGAATGCAAGAAAAATGGGTTCCCCACTTAATTAAACTTCCTTAATTTACTATAAATGACTACAATAATGAAATATGAATGACTGATGACTGGAACATAATAAAATGTATGTCCAAATGTTTTTTATAAATCTGAATAATTTAAATAAATAAGCACTTAACAGGAGGAACTACTCACATGAACATTACAAAGGTCACTGTGTGATATTTAACAAGACCCCGATCAGCTAAAATTTAAAATAGCAAATAGAAACACCTGTAAAGGTTCCCAAGCCTTTAAATGGTCTCTCAGTCTAGTTAAATTACAGAAATGAATGTAATTTTGTACAGTATTCTAATTTTTCCAGCTTCACATAATTGTGTGTTTTTAGCAGCATTTCTGTTGCTGCTAATCTAGTAACGAATAAATAAATAAATAAAATCCTTTAAAATGACACCAGAAGAGGCACAAGCCTGATGGAGGACTTACATTTACTAACCTGGGTCAGACCCAACCACAGAAGCTGGGTGGTAAACACACACAGGTAGTTCTAATAACACCTGAGCTCCATGACGTCTGAGACAGATGCATCAGTGTTACAGCGGGACTAAAGACATGATCAGAAACAGGTTACAGCTGGATCATCTAGCAAGGTAGGAGATCAGGACGCCTGAGCGGTGAACAGGTGAGCGGACCTTCGGGACGTCCCGCTGTCACGCTAAGAAGGGCACGGCTGCAGATCCACACCTGCAGCCGTAGACTATCCATCACGTCTTCCTCATTCTTCACGGCCGTGATGCTCTTGGAGGAAAACATCTACCTCTTTAGCTCCTGATCAGCTGATGTCAGCTTCAACACACCGCGCTGCTTAACGCACGCATTTCCTTATCAGTTACAGAAACGATAGTATTAGCTGGCTCACGTTTGAGCTAGCTCGTTGTTAGCACTAGCTACAGCCGGTTGTTTACGACATTTGTAATTCTTACAACTAGAAGCAAGAAAACGCTCTAATTTTCTCTAATAGTTCCTCATTAACTCGTTAAAGAGCACTCACTGAAAATTAAAAGATTTAACGTGTTACTGGGAGGTGTTTTTTTTATAGTTTTAACTTTTTACAATTTGAAAAATCTTTGCAAAACATTTGCACCCAAACTTCAGAAACTTCATTACTCTTATGAAACCTCTTAAGCTGCCTTCTAAACACTTTCTTTGTTTTCTTTCCTTATCTTTATTTATAAAAAACCTTTCCAGGTGAAAATTTTGACACTGTAAAAGTTCTGCTTAAAATCAATGACATAAAAACATAAACATAAAAATTCCCACGTGAACGGTCTGTTATTCCCATCACGGACTAGTGCTCAGGAACCGAGAAAACCCGTCAGAAATATGCTTTTCGGCTCTACTGACCAACGGTCGTGCTGAGTTTTGGCCGATTCCACTGATTTTCAGACCAGTGAGTGATCAGCACCACTCTCTTCTTCCATCAGACACCGACGGCAAACCCGTCCAGAAATCAGAACGGCTGGATTTCATTCCAGGAGCGTTTAACGGCTTAGCGGAACGATTAGCCCCCCGATTCATATTCCGTTTCAGGAGACACTTTAAAGGCTTGAGATGTGCTTTCAGCTGGATTGAAGCATCACGTCTCCCTTCCTTTCCTGTCACTCTCTCTTTACTTTCCTCCCACTCTCCATGTCTCATCATGAGTGTCATCAGCACCCACTCCGGCTGATGCCTGTTAATATGGCAACGCTATTGTCTGCCCATTTGTTGCTGCTGTCTCCATTGTTTGCTCTCACACTTGACAAATTCATCAGAAAAAGAAGGGAATAAAAGGGGAAAATGGCTGCAAATAGTGCAGTTTTTGCACAATTGACTGTAAGTCTGGCTTTGTCTTCAAATGGTGCACAGAATGGGAGCTTGCTGGGCTAATTCTGGACATTAATCATCTATTGGGACATAAACTAGCAGAGCCTTGGCCTTTAAAGACCAGCTGCTATGCCTCCCAGTTTTCCGTGTGTGAAACTTCATTAATCAAATGTTTGTAACTGGAAAGGATGAAGGATGGAAAGATGAAACCCCCCCCGGCCGAAGGATAACGTGTACCTTTGCTCTGCGGAGGGTTCTGGCTGCGGTCTCGGAGGATGTTGATCTGATAGACGGCTCCGTACGGCTCGAACAGCTCCTTTAGCTCCTTCTCTGACCAGGAGCGTGGGATCTGACCCACAAACATCTTGATGGCGTCCGGGTCCGGCTGGTCCGAGTGCTCCAGCGCCCCGTTCATCTTACCGGCCGTGCCGTTACTGTTGGAGGGGAGGGGAGAACATCACGTCAAAACAAAACAGCAAATCAACACCTCAGAGAACTTAAAACACCAGAGGTTTGTGGGAATTTTGGACGAAATGGTTCTTAGACCTCCCAGAGGAAAACCTCCCAGTTCCATTATCCCAGTGTTCCCTGTTCAGCCGGACAAGAGTTGTGTTTGCTGGCAAGAAGAAGCGCGAGGATGCTAAATCCGCTGCGAGCCGCAGCTCGGACGTATAAGAAACGTAATGTTGTGATGGTCTGATGTCATTTCCTCTCATGTTTGTACGTGTCCCGGCGAATTATAAATAATGTGCTGAACTTTGGTTTGAAGAAAACTAAATCACAATTTCTGCTAGAAAAATGATTGTAATGACATTTTTCCCGAAGCTGGTCAGCCCAACAAATAAAGATGTTTGTTATGGAAATTTTATATTTCATTGCTTTAATCCTATTCGCAAACGTCCTGAAGCATGCTCACACACACACACACACACACACACACACACACACACACACACACACACACACACACACACACACACACACACACACACACACACACACACACACACACACACACACACACACACACACACACACACACACACACACACACACACACCTACCTCACTCCCATTCTTATCTATTTGTTTAAATCAACTCTGTGATCAGATGTTCGGGGCATTTTGCCTCGTGCATGTGCCACAGTTATAACTGGTTGGCTTGTCTTAACGTGTCTCTCCTTCTCTCTTCACTACAGGAAATGGGTTTATTGGTAAACATATTGATAAAATCCATGACATCATTCGGACCTTCGAAAGCCGGGGTCCCATCACCTCGCGGCGCCAAGAGCTGATGCCGGAGTACTGTCGACAACCTAAATCTCCTCCAGCGCTGAGCTTACGCTGGGGGTCGGTGTGAGGATCTTGACGTCGCTGGGAGGGGACGCGGATCCACGAGCTACTCAAGAACTGAGTGGAGAGATTTGGTGAGACAAGTTTGTTGTTTGTTAGAAAATCCTAGGTGATCAGAAATAAACTGGTATAGTCTACCGTGAAAGGAAGTTGAACAGATTCCAGGAATGCTGTATTGGCTTGGTTTTGTGCATTGTAGCCGAAATTAGAAATGCATTTCTGCTGTTGATAAGTAGGCCGGTGTGATAACTACTGACATTAAAGTGGTGACGTCCGCCATGAATGGGATGGTTTTGACAGGTTTGGCTTGGTTTTTGAGCGTTTTAGCCAGAGAAATAGAAACGTGCTCTCGTTATCTGTTGTTGTTTGTTTGTCTTAAATGTTGTCTGCTTTAAATGTTGCTCGAATGACTGAGAGAGTAATTCAGTTTTTCTGTGTTTGCATTGAAAACAGTTCATTAAAGAGCAAGTCACCCCAAATCAACTTTTTTTTATTCTGATCAACTATATAAATGCGTGTCTAATCGTGCTGCAGACACGTGTAGTCAATAGTTTAGCACTTTAGTGCATTCTAGTTAAAATTTTAATTTTCTGCCTAAAACTGTCACTGTTGTGCCGTTGTCAGGTAAAAAGTCTGCACTGCATTTGAATTCATATCTGCCATCGCTATTGGCTAAGAGGTACCTTAGAACGTTAGCTGGTACCATATGATGTCACAATGTCATTGAGAGCCTGTGTGTGCGTATTTGTTAGCGGCTCCGCCCTCTCGGTCTGCTAGGCAACAGCATTTGTTGCATTTTTCAAACAGGAAGTGGGCGTGGAGTGAGAATCTGGTAGGGGGTGACTTGCTCTTTAAGGAACAGCTTAAAGTGACAAGCGATGACCTTAAAATATAATCTCTACTTTTTTTGATAGTTTTCACTAATTATTGATAGCAATCAATAGGAATGTGTTTTTTCTATGTGGTCCAGCCCGGGACCTTCAAATCCATATATGATCTTTGGCTTTCCTCATGGGAACCCCCGAACTAAAATCACCCACAAAAGCAGTTCTGTGTTTAAAAGCCGTTACAAGGATGTTCATTTAGACATCTTTAATTAAAAAGTGTTTTATTGGTGAAAATAATCAATAGACAGGAATAGGGCTGCAACAACGAATCGATAAATTCGATGAAAATCGATTACTAAAAGCGTTGGCAACGAATTGCGTCATCGATTCGTTGTGTCGCACAACTCTTCCAAAAGCGCCCCCCCTTCCCGCGCAGACCAGAGCAAGTCAGATCAGCGCAGACCAGAGCAAGTCAGATCAGCGCGAGGGAGAGCCGCAGATCAGCGCGAGGGAGAGCCGGCAGATCAGCGCGAGGGATAGTCTGCAGACTTGTGCTGCTGCGAACCGGTTCCGCATTGTTGCACAGCGATCCAGGCAGCTGCTTCCAGCGCACGGTCCATTCTCAAAGTGGCGCAACCAAAAAACTATAATTAGCACACGATCGTTCATGTCCGCACTCCGCACATGTTCTCTATTTTCTGTCTTATTTGTGCCTGAAGCTCGCTACTGCGGATCTCATCACCTGTGCTGTGGTGATGTCACCTCACGCAGCATCGAAAACGCGCTCTGCGCTTTTCGGTCAGGAGATCCCTTTGACCTGCTCAAAAGTAACTGATGAGGTGAAAAGGTAAGAATCCAGGCAACAGATTTTCTGGAGAATTAAGAGGAGATGCAGGAAGATGAGAGACAGACAGGACAGGAAAATAGTTCAATAAAAACAAGAAAACAAAACAAAGTGTTGAAAAGTAAAATGTAGGTAGATTTATCTCCACTACACGTTTTTACCAGTAAAAAACAATAAGTTATACACATGTCATATTTATACATCTGATACAATTCAGATCACCTTCAAAACTCAGTCACACACCCAGGGCCGTTTCAAGACATTTTGGGGGCCAAGGCAAAATGCCCCCCCCCCCCCCCCCCCCCCCATAACTGGGCTCCCCAGAAGCCTCTGTGTAATTCAGGAGTGTTAGTTATACAGTGTTTATAAAAGCCCCTCAGACATCACTGACATGTTCTAATATTATCAGATGAAAAACTAAATTATCAGACATGTTGTCTCATCTGCTTCTTTTTTAAACTTGCAAAAAGTAACAAAACCATTTGAAAGCCACAATTTGTGGATTCTCTGAAAGTTTCCATGGAGTGTGTGACAACTTATTTTTTCATTGATCCTATCGTCTAATCTCACAGCTGAAACAAGCATCCTTAATCATCTGTGCACAGGAAGCGTACCGATGCTGTAGTAAAACAAAAGGTATAATAATTTATTATTAATAAAACCTTGTTGCAGCACTAAAGCAGAAAAATTAGATTTTGCATTAAATATGCAAAATATTTACATATGAATTGTTTTAGAGCCCTTTAATTGGCAGCATCTGATATTAATTTAGTTCTTACAAAAAATGGGTCCCAACATGGTTTGTGTGGTGTTGCCATAGTGTGACGTCATAGGCACAGATCCCCTGTCCTCTTGTTTGGAAATGGAAATATGGTCACCCTACATTAAACAAACTGTCCACCCGGGCTTTTGCACTGCACAGAGACGCTTCGCTGCCTATGACTGAACGTCAGTTGAGAGTCAGTCTCATGCAGACTGACCAATGAAGAGAGGGCCTCAAGTTAAGACCCTCTCCTCATTGGTCAGTCCACACGAGGTGGGTCAAAGGTTACTCTGGGCGGGTTACGTGTTGTCAGGCATTCAAGTATTGAGTATATTTACTGCATATTACAGTAAAATATTCTGTATGTGACCACATTATGGTGATCCTTGGGTCGTGATGATGGAGCCCTTGAATATTGTTGCCCAGGGTACAACAAAGTGTTAATCTGGCCCTGGTTCCGCCGTCACTTTCCCGCAGAAACTGGTTGATCACACCGGGGCCAGACTACTAGCATGTGGTTTTACAACCACAATGTCCTCAGAAGCAAAAACGCTTTTAAAAGGGAGGGAGGAGTCCTAACTGTTGCTGCAGGCGTGTTGTGTGAGAGTGCAGTTATATACTGGTTAATATATTTTTGGGTTCAGTTGCTTTCATGTGGCCTAATGTGAGTCTATTTGGGATCATTGGAATGATCAGCAGCATTTCTTGATGTGACTTTATGGCAGTTGCCCAGGGCATCATCGCAAGGAGGATGGCATTCATTTACTTTTGTTTTATTTGGTGATTTTTCAGTCATTTTTGGAAATAGTGATCAATTTTGATTAATTCACAGCCTATGTTTAATTACATTTAAAATAAATGTCAACAGATGAGATCAAACAAAACAGATGAGAATTGCCCTTAAGCTGTTTAACTTGGACCAAGCATTTTAGGTCACAGATAGATGTAGCTTAGGGTCTCTGTCTGTACACCTTATAAGACAATTTAGGTGATGGCATGTTGTTTTTCTGCTATTGAACTGTTTTCTAATAATGTTGTGTTAAATAAAGTGAAGGGAGAGAAATAACGTTTCCCTAGCTGTTTTTAAAAATTTCCCCATGTAATCCGATTAATCGATTAATCGTGTCGAGACCCCATCCGATTAATCGATTATCCAAATAATCGTTTGTTGCAGCCCTAGACAGGAACTGAAGCATGGAGCTTAAGCCTGTTGCTAGGCAGGGTTGGGTCCGGCTAATGGGTCTTTTCAATCACCATCAGCGTCATCCGACATCATTTCAGCAGACGTGCTGGAAAAAAATATATCAATTACCAGCCGGCACTGTAGAGTGGCTTTAAATAATTGCATAGTATTAGATGTGAGACTGAAATAAAGGGGGAAAATGTCCAAACCCCCACAGAGATGAAGGCAAATTCTCTGAATCCATAAAAGAACACTTTCGGGACTCTTTGGCTTAATTGGAACGTTCAAGAAGCGCATGAGCCGAACGTGGAGGGAGGCCGGAACACAACATGACAAATAAAACTCACATTTTGACTCACAACGGCGAGCAGAAAGCTTCTAAAGCGTCTTTCACACCATCACAAGGACACGGAGGCTCAGCCAGAGCCACGCTAATAAAACTCCTCACCGCCGGGCGACACCGCTTTTACAGCCCGATATCCCCGAAGCTGGCGGCTTCTATATAAACTGACCTGACACATCAGCAAAGTGACATTTCACTCTGGTTCTAAATGTGGATTTCTGATGGAGGAGATGTGGGCGAAGCATCTTCAGAGACGCAGCGACTCTCCACCCAGAGGATCCTCTCCCTCTCCGTTTTACAGGTGAAACACAACATCTGTGTGGCCCGTTTCTGGGCTGACAGAAGACACGGACGGCAGCGAGAGATGGACGCATGCTCGGGGTGGACGTGCAGCTGCGGACCACCGAGCTGCACCGGAGAATGTTTGTGTTGATGAAAGGACGCTGGCGACGCTGTGTGCAGCATGCTAATGTGGGCTTTTTGTGTGGGATTAGGTTTGCAGAACCAGTACAGTAGACCTCCAGGCCATCTAACTGCACACAGATGCTTAAACGCCCATCAGTCTGGTTGCATTTCAACATCTGGAATGAATATAAATGGAGGTGAAAGGCACTCGCCCTGTTCCACAGCATAGAAACCACACTTATCTTCACTAAACACACTCGTCCGACCAAGCGTTTCGAATACTAACTCACGCCGGCCTCCTTTTAATCTCCCCATGCAGGTGATAATGTTTTTGCCTGCATCTGTTCACCAGTAAAGTACCCTTGAACCACTGAACATCCTTTAATGAAACTCTCAGAAAGGAATCACCAGATGTGCAAACAAACAACTCATGGAGTTAATGAGTGTTTCTCAATGCCAAGGAACCTCGCCTTGATGTCTTGGCCCCGCCCCGGTTGCCTAGGAGATACGTCATCAGTAACCGCCAAGACGTGTTCCAATGTTCATGTTCTACTGAGGCGTGTGTTCTCCGTTTGTTAGCCGTTTAGCTAACTGAGGGAGGATACACTGGAGGTGTCTTGTAGCCTAGCCTTGGTCAAAAATTACCCAGAATACACCGCAGTATTTTCTAAAGGACGGTGGATCAAAAGCCGGCAGCTACTTCGGGGACAATTTTCAAGTTTAAAAGTAAGTCAACTAATTTAAAATGTTTTTTTTAGATCCAAAGAACTTATCTATGGTTGGTTAGTAGCTTAGTAGTTGCAGCTTCGGTGGCTAGCGGGTAGTAACTCACTTATATATTTAATTTAATAAACATATACACTATTTAAAAGTAAAAGGCTCGTTATATTTTTACATTGAAACTAATACGTATTAAATTTTACGTTATCTCCCGTGTCACGTGACGTTACGTGACCGCCGTGGAAGCCGCTGTCACGTGATGCAAGTCTGTTCCATTTAACCGTTTTCTTTGACCAAGGAAGGACCGCGTCCTCGTAAGCAAGACGCCTTGACATCGAGAAACACGCACTGAGTCAGTCCAATCCAAGATGGCTGCCACAACCCAGAAAACCTTCGAAGTTAAACTTAAAATAGTAAATGAGTAACAGTGAGTGAAACAGTGAGTCTCCTGCTGGTGTTGTGGCAGCTGAGGGTCATTTACGACACACGTGCGACTGCTTTGCCTAAAACCTTTGGCCTTGTTGTTAACTTGGTTAGTTGGTAAACAACAACCTCTTCATGGGTTTGAACAAAAAAACAAAAAGGGATCATTAGACAAATGTCTACAAATGATGACTGTTTGGAGTCAACCCCATCCAAGGAGGCCGCCACGGGTAAATGACCTCAGCAAACACAAAAACGGCTACAAATCAGTCAGTTACACACCCTCGGCTAAGAGGTCATGTGCTAGTAGCCGAGTGCTGAGTCATGGTGCCTGATGTCACTTTCAGGATTTGACCAAAACAGCTCCATGAGGGTATCTCAGTTGGTAACTGGCTTTAGAGGCGTCGAGCGAATGCTAGGGCCGCCATCTTTGATTCAAAAACACAAAGATAACAAATACAGGGACTCAGCAGTGAGGTAAGATGGACACAAACAAGCTAAGTGTTGGGAAGTTTCAAGGAAACACATCCACCATCATCGTCAGTGGTCTGCTCAAAATGGTGAAAATCCAAAGTCAACAGCAACGCAGCTTTGGTGCTGTACTCCCCTCCTCTTATCCTCCACATCAGACAGAAGTTACATTATTAAAAGAGGCAAACGCAAAACAAAGACAAACGCTTGGTTAGCTGACAACTCTAATGCCACATCATAGGGTTAGGGTTTCTCAGCAAGAGAAAAGGAGTGAAGGAGGAAAACGGTGAGACTGGGGGGAGGGAAACACATCCAGACCTTTGAACGCGGGCCATCCATCTTTTGCAGTAAGAGCCGAGGCGCACAGCAGAAACGCCAAATTCTTTAAAGGACTTAAAGGACATGTCAAATAAAAACGCCAGCACCGAGGAAGGAGTCAACGAGCCAAACCCGTGCCAACAGTCCTCAGGGCAATGACCGCTCCCCGTTAAGCTGTCCGATGAATCGCTCGGGCCACGGTGCCGAGGGAGTCCGGAGGAGAGGAGAGGAGGGAAAAAGGGAGGGAAGGGCGGCGGTGATAAGTCGAAGCCTTCCTCTCTCACAGGTGGACGTTAGGACACCTAAACGACGGAGGCGACAGATCTAGGCAAGCCTTGGTGGTCAGTGGGTTCGAGCAGCAGCACATCATTCCTTTGCCCTCTGACACACACACACACGCACAGCTGATGTGTGTGTGTGTGTGGAAGCAAATAACTGGAGACAAGCCCTCATTGTTGGCCGTTTGAGCGAGGCTTGCGGGGACTGAGCGAGTTCACGGGGGAGACGACACAATAACCAGTGTCAGGGAAGCGCCTTCCTGCTCCGGGACACTGTCCGCCATTCACGCAGACCTCTAAGACAATGGACGGCCTCTCACTGGAGGTCGCCAGGCGTACGCATGCTCACAGAGCCGTCTTTACCCGAGGAGGTCGGGATGCAGGTGACTCTGAACGCCGCCGCGGCCAGGAGTGACAAGGTGTTATCGGAGGCCCACTGAGCTTCAGCGTGTGCACCAACATGTTAGTAGAAATGCGTGAAGCTCAGCGGGAGTGTCCTCGGGCTTGGATTAAGTCGTTGAGAGGCTCCACGCCTGCCACGGCCTCTCCATCTCCCTCCCTCTTTCCCTTCTTTTCTATCTCTCCCTCTCAATTTGAGCCAATTGTTTGCCTTAATGGCTTAAGTGTTGCTTCCATCACTCCAGTCCCCTGCAGCACAGAGGCCACGACTGAGGGCTGATCTGCACTCAGACTCTGAGCACGTACGCGTGCTCAGTCACAGCGCTAAGGAAAGTGTCTGGATGGGCCTTTGAAGCAGCTGCTGAGGGCTGTTATTCCCACATCTGACACTTACATTAGACACAGGCTTGTTGGAGCTACAGCGGCGCCACACTGACCATAAAACCTTCAGGTACTTTCCTCTTTATTTACAGGTCCTTTAGACTCTTTGGACTTCTTCAGAGAAGTTGTCAGTGGTCTCGCTTCAGAGAATCACAGAAGTGTTCCCGGAGGGAGTCTCCGAAGTGCCTTGGAACATTTGGGTTCCTAATTTCCCTGCAGAGACTCACGCTTTGAATTTGCTCAAAACATCAACTTGGGAAAGCCGTCGGAATCGTTTCCATAAGCTTCGACATCCGTCTGATTGATTAGAGACCCAAAAACACCTAATAATAAAAAACTCAATCAATCAATCAATCAATCGAATTTTATTTGTATAGCACCTTCTACAACATTATCCGAAGCCCAAGGTGCTGAACAACATCATTAAAAGAAAAACATTCTCAATACATGGGCATAAAAGCACGATAAAAACATAAAATCATAAAATAGCAAGCAAACAGCATTACAGAAAAGAGATATTGGAATAAGACCAATCGATTAAAAAAAAAAAGTCAGACAAAATTAAATCAAGCATCCGGTATAAAAAGAAGAATAGTTAAAACCATAAAGTTAGGGCAATTCAAGTGACCCTAGCGCTGAAACGCAATCAGATAAAAATGAGTCTTTAAATGAGACTTAAAAACTTGAAGGGACGGTGCCTGCCTAATGCTCAGTGGCAATTCGTTCCACAGAGTTGGAGCCAAAATAGAAAAAGCACAACTACCCCTCGATCGAAACTTCGACCGGGGGACCACCAAAAGTTCCTGCTCGGCTGAGCGAAGAGCCCGAGATGGAGCATACCTGTTCAAAAGCGCAATAATATACGAGGGGGCACTGCCCTGGAGGGCCTTATAAACGAGAGTTAAGATTTTAAACTGAGCTCGATATTTTACCGGGAGCCAGTGCAGAGCATCCAGCACTGGGGTAATGTGCTCTCGACATCTAGTGCCTGTCAGGAACCTAGCCACAGAGTTCTGCACAAACTGGAGCCGTGCAACCGTGCACTGGGCCAGACCAGCATACAGAGCGTTGCAGTAGTCCAGCCGAGACAGGACAAAGGCATGCAACACAGACTTCAGATGAGCTGAAGTTGTGGACAAATAAAGACACGATGAGAACACTTTCTGAAAATACCGCACAGGCTTCTCAGAGATCGTACGCAGATCGTTTTGCAGTTTGGAGAAACGCCGAAGCACGACACAGCGACTCAGTTTACCTTTAACTGGAAATTTAGATATTGTTGTGAAATGTTACGTTTCCAACACGTAACCCGGACCTGCAGCCCGGCAAGGAACTGGTCCCATGACACATGGTGGATCTTTACAGCGTGTTACTTCAGTGCTAAGCATGCACCAGACCACGGACTGTACCCAGGTCTTCAGGACAAAGGACAGTAGATGTTAAAAACCTTCTGACACTTTCGTATTCATATGATAATACATCGATTATCAGTTCCAGAGTAAAGTGAAGCTAACAGACCTAAGAATTACAATAGATTAAGTAGTTTATTTGATACATTTTTAGCCTTTTTCCTTCTTAAAAGGACATTATGGAAGTGTGACAGCCAAAACATGTATAGAACTAATATATGTCTTCTTCATACGTTCTCCTGCAATGCCCTGGTCCTGTAGAATGAGCCCTGGCATTTTTACTGTGATTGCCTGTTTTTCTGTAAAATCACAGAAAAAGAGAGATGCTCGGGTCGAGCAGGCTGCTTCATGCGCGTTCACGCTCAGGCATCGCCCGTAGCATTTGCTATCAGTAGCTTTAGCAGCAGAGAGAGAGGCAGTGCCACTTTGTCGCTGTTCCTAACGCCTAGTGACAAAGCTAGCTACATTTCTGAGGACCCTTAGCTACTTTCTGTAGAACTTTCTTCTAGATATTTCCTGCTAATTAGCAACAAAATAGCCATTTTCGCTCCGAACCGTTCTTTGAACGTTGTTTCAGCTGTCATCAAGGATATAAATGTTACAGATAAAAAGGACGTCACTGGCGCATTAGCTCACCTAGTAAGATGTCTGACTCTCATGCAGAAGACCTGGGTTTGATTCTGGATGTGAACATAGTTTATTTAGAGTTAATTTTTTACATTAATGGTATATTTTTTACAGTAAGATGCCCACATTTGTATTTGAGACTCGCCGAACGGCATTGAATTCACAGATAAAAAAGATGTGGGTTCAACTTTCATTTTGGAACAATTTTTCAAGCAAGGGAAGGGAATGATCTGAGCATGCAGGAGGACTGACCCATCATAAACCTTTGTCGGCTGTGCTGAAGAGAAAGGTACAGAACCACATTATTTAATTAATTAGCTGCGTGTTCTGTCGTCTGTCCTCCGGGTCACACACACACACACACACACACACACACACACACACACACACACACACACACACACACACACACACACACACACACACACACACACACACACACACACACAAGGAACTGTCTCAGCTGTTACTTTCGTTAAGGAGTGTGCACGTACAGCATGCGAGCCTCGTGCACGAGCCTACTATTGAAGCTGCCGTTACGCTTTTGGCCTGAGGGGGCAATCGCGAGCATAAAAATTCAAAACTCCGTAAAGTCCCTTTAATAAGTAAAACTGTGAAAATGAAAGTGTTTGGGGTGTAATTTAGCTGGAGAGATTCAAGACTAAACGAGGGCTGCAACATATTTATTTATGAGAACACTGGTCCCTTTATGTTGTAGTTTGATTAATGTACAAAGAATCTGAGAGCAAAAGCAGCGTTTGACAGACTCAGAGGGAGTTTTTGGGTCACGTTGTGGTAATTGTAGATTCAAGGACATGTGTAGGCGGGCTTTCAGTGCTCCACATTCCTCCAACGGCCCACAAACACACATCAGGTTGATTGGTGGTTCCACGCTGACAGCATGTCAGACGTTATCTGGCTCGTAGTGTTAGCCTACAAGTCTTTTATTGTGTGTGTTTGGAGAGGCTCATAGAAGCAAGAGGCTACAGCTAATAGACCAGCGGACCTTGAGTTCTGCACTAAAACGGATTCTTGACAAACCACCTGTCATTCAGACGCCCGGCGACCTGATTGTGAATCGACTCTACGAGTGCTGTTAGTCTAACTCGGAGAGGAGCGGCTCGTTAGCGAAGGAGGCACGGTTCAGCAGCAGCAGACCGTTCATTTAGGTTTCATTCAGCAGGCTGGCTTGTCTTCTATCACTGGATCTAACAAAAATCAGCTCTTATGGAACCAAACGACCGGGTTCTGATCTCTTTCTTGACTAGCAGGTCAAGTGCTGGTAGAACAGATTTTAATCTGCTAATCTGACAGAAGCGAGCACTGAAATTAACTCAGCAAAAATAAATAAATAAAAACTACACCAAACAGAAACATATCTAAAATATGGGGATGTTTGACCCAAATGTTAATTACCTTACATCAGTGTCACTTCAATCAATCAATCAATCAATCAATCAATCAATCAATCAATCAAAGCTTTATTTATAAAGCACCTTCCGCAACCCTGTCAGGAAGCCCAAGGCGCTGAACATGGTTCAGTTGAAGGTAAATATATTGAATAAATCAAAAATAAAAGCAATTCAAATTACAAAATACAAGTTACAAAATAGGTGAAACATTCTGGTACAGGACAAATGTGTAAAACAATGATAGAGTGAACCAATGAAAACTGTGAAATAAATTCAACATAAAAGAGGGCCAAAATCATTCAGGGAACGCCAAGCGGAGGAGGTGTGTTTTTAGGCGACAAAGACTGGCAGAGATGGGGACAGCCTAACTGAGGGTGGCAACTGGTTCCAGAGTGACGGTGCTAGGACTGAGAAAGCCCGGTCCCCGCGAGTACGACACCTAGACCGAGGGACAGCGAGCAGGCCTTGGTCAGAGGAGCGCAGAGCGCGTGATGGGGAGTGTCTGTTCAGGAGTGTGGCCAGATAGGGGGGAGTACCACCCTGGATGAAATTGTAAACAAAGACGAGGATTTTGATTTGTGAGCGATAGCAAACCGGAAGCCAGTGCAGGGAGGCCAGAACTGGACTGATGTGGTCCCGTTTCCTGATCCCAGTCAGGAACCTGGCTCATCTTCACTATTTATATTACTAATAATTGTAGCGTTAAGGATTGACTGCAAATATGTATGTATGGGCTGCATGGTGGCGCAGTGGTTAGCACTGTTGCCTCGCAGCACGAAGGTTGCAGGTTCGAAACTCGGCTGCGGCCTTTCTGCGTGGAGTTGCGTGTTCTCCCCATGCATGCGTGGGTTTCCTCCGGGAACTCCGGTTTCCCCCACAGATCACAACATGCCCTATAGGTTATAAACTGTAAGTCGCTTTGGATAAAAGCATCTGCTAAATAAATAAACATAAACATAAAATATATTAAATGATCAATAAGATGTGATAATTCAATATTGGTCTTTGGGTGTTTAATCAGAAGCCTTTAGTTTCTCTGACTTATTCAGGGAACACACACTTCATATGAATCCAGACAGATCAAGAATATAGTTATAAAAATGATTTTAACACCATTTCCCTAAACTAAACGATTGTACACGACAAAGTATGAATGATAGTTGTGTAGATAACAGATGATGAATGAGTGATGGAATGGAAGCTAGATGTTTTAGCAGAACCTTTCGTAAGTATCTGAGAGAAACAGTGGAGTCTGGGTTGTAAAATCTATTTGGCTGTTTGGTTTGATAAGCTAAAGATTGGTTTATAAAACCATCCGACGCAATTTGTGCCGAGTCTACGCACCCTTGTGCGGAGATCCCTGTGCGATCCAGGGGGTCAAGAGGTCAGGATGGACACTGCCGGTGGTGTGAACCTCTAGGTACCAAGAAGTCGTAAATTAGCTCTGAAACGACCCGTCTAGTCTGAGATACCTCCAGGTGACAGCAGGAAGCTGAAATGCTTGTTTTGCGTCTAAGGCTGTTAGGTGGCTGTAATCACTCGCAAGCGTACAGAGAGGATTTGACCTTGGGGTCAAAAGATAGGATGGTCTCAAATGCCTCCTCACCGGTTTGGCCGAACCAGTAGGAAGCTGTAAAACTGACTAGATCAGGAAGTAATTCCTGTTTTCATTAACTCATTCACCGCCAACGACGACTAAAGTCGCCATTTGCATGTTTTTACTGTGTGGGCGTCGGACGAGCCCCCGCACCGTGGGAACAAACATCTCAGCTCTAAAGCCGATCTTCAACCACGTACGTCACATGATCAGGGAGCAGAACATCCATGTGTTAGGAGATCGTTTTGGGCCGCTGCTGTAAAAAAAAATTGAGGCATAATGTACATTAAATAATAACCAAACCAAATGAAGAACAAATGGCTTTATGAACACTAATCGCTGCAGAACAGCTGACGGGCCGACTCATGAGGACAAACCTGGAGTCTAATTCTCTGAATCCACAGAAAAACGCACAATTCTGGTTTGTCTGCAGCTTCTAGAATAAAAGAACCTGCATCAGGTGAATCACTGGCAATCTAAACACTTTTACCCTGACAAGGTAACCCGCTGAGTGTCTGCTTTCAGTTCTTATTCACCTGTTTGGAAATAATCACCAGCTGGTGCTGCTTTTTGCTGCATCGGTCCCCGCAGACGTTTAGGAGTAAATCTAAAGTCTTTTGCTGCATTGATTTAAAAAACGAAAGCGTGATCGTCCCCTTTACACCGACTGCTCCTCGCTCAGGACCAGGTCGGCTTTTGGTACGACGCCGTTCTGTCAGCATCTTTAAACCCGGACCTGCAGCGAATATCGGGGCGGTGGTGCTGGAAGAGGGAAAGACCAACAAACCACTGCCATGGTTCAGAAGAGATGAGCCAAAATGGAAAGCTCTGGAATCTCTGGTCCATCGAAACCGTCAGAAACAAAAGAACTAGATCCTGGATCCAAAACCGAGCTTCCAGGATAGCCAGGCGTTTCCCTAGAGAGCCCAGGGTGGAGGATCTGCTCTTCCTGGAAAGGTGAGGTGGTTCAGGTCTTATTAGGATGCCTACTGGTTGCCTGCTAGCGGTTTTCCAGGGACTGGGGGGAGAGCCTAGAACTCTCCAGTCTGGGAATAGTTTGGGATGCACTAGGAGAAGTTGGAATCTTCCGCTTTTAAGACAAAAGTCAGTTTTTTGCTCCTAAATCTGTTACTTCAGAGCAAACAGACGGCCTGCGACACCTTAAAGACCAAGTTCACGATTTTTTCCATCCGTGCAGCGCTCTCTAGTAAAAATGAATGACGTGAATAACAAATGTTTCTTTGTAGTTTTAGCTATTTTGATTTATTCTCAATGGTCCGTGCAGAGCCAAAAGCTTGTCGATGGGCGTCTCTACATTAGAAGTATTCAGCTAACAGACGAACCCCAGGCAAAAACATTACAGCCCACGTTTAAGGACCAGGATGTTCCACTAGACCCAACAACTCTAAAGAACCCAGCAGAAACGGAGTAGAGGGCAGCAGCAACGAGCCACAGCAGCTACCCGCCAGCTCTG